TTTTGCTGCTTATTATGAAGTTTTTGATAAAAATCATGCGATTGACGGTGAGTGATTCAAATACACGCACGTGCGTTTGTTGACATAACGGCTCTCATCGGTCCAACTGAAAGTATTTCTGGCGATCTTGCGGGCTTGCTATGGAGATTGTACGTGCGCTTCCAACATTTTGGGAAATGTAATTATAAATCGCTACGAGTTTCAAAACAATAACATATATCTACATGTAATTGATCAACTTTAATCTTTAACATTGGGCATAGATTCTATATTTCACATCTCTGGGAATATTTTAGTCTGACATTCTTTGGGGTCATTCATATTTTCAGCGAATTCATATAAAATTCCACTTGGGGTATGACATCAAGGTTACACGAATGTTCAGTTTGAGAAATATTTAAAAGTCATTTTTGAGTGTCTGCTTTGGGATTTAATGTAGCTTTTATAACTGTTATTTACATAACTAATAAAACAAATCCATATGGTGATTATCAAACCCTATTTAGAAATATATTTGGAAATATAAGGTGAACATCTGATAATAGTTACGTGAAAATAAGTCTGTAACAAATAAGTTTTCCTCCTTCTTTTATTTGTATCAAAAAGGTTTAATTCTTTAAATACACAAACATCAATAAAATGTATGATTACTTCGGTGATATTAAGTACCAGGGAATCAAACAAGAATTGAGTTATCGTTCCTGTTTAAAGTAGTTCTGATGTTCATGCGCCAATATGAAATCCTCCCAGAGGGGCACGAGTCGCTATTCGGCTTGTCCCGGAATAACACGAGTTGGTCACGAATGCGCTATTCGGCTTGTCCCGGAATAACTCGAGTTGGTCACGAATGCCCGTGCCTTCAGCTCTGTCATCAAGTCTGGCAACTTCCAGCTTCCGTAATTCATTCTTCTAATTCCGGAAAATTGTGCAGGTTAATGTTTTACTGAAGTTCGAACGAGTCCGATATATTCCCTTGAGTGTTTAAACCCGCGATTGTTGGACCGTAACTACCGCAGCGCCCCAAGCGGGCAAGGGGGCGCAACTCCAGGAATGTTCCCCATTTTCTGAAGGGCAGAGATGAAACAGACAGGACTGCCTGATAACAAACAAAAGTTCTGTCTATCGGATGTCCATACATCATCTGGAGTTACATATACACTGATATCATTTCCTGCAAGCCTCACAAGGCTTTTGTTTGTTTGAGTCTGGACCAGACAATCTAGTGAGTGAGTGAGTATGATTTTACGCCGCTTTTAGCAATATTCCAGCAATATCAAGGTGGGGGACACCAGAAATGGGCTTCACACATTGTGCCCATAGGGGGGATCGAACCCGGATCTTCGGCGTGACGAGCGAAGGCTTTAACCACTAGGCTACCACACCGCCCCGACAGTCTAGTGATCAACGGCATGATCATCGATCTACACTATTAGGATACGATGACATGTAGCAATAGGGCCGTGCAATATTGCCGGTATATACCGGTACAGTATCTCGCGATACGATTATCACGATATGATTCAGATTCTGCAAATATTGTGTGCTATCCAGAACTATCTTCCTTTGATTTATCTGCCCTTGATTTTCATTGCAACATGGGGCAGTGGGGTAGTCTGGTGGTTAAAGCGTTGGATCGTCACGCCGAAGAATGAGTGAAGCCCATTTCTGGTGTCCCCCGCCGTGATATTGCTGGAATATTGCTAAAAGCGGCGTAAAACCAACCTCAGTCAATCAGTCAGTCATTGCAACAAAATGTGTTCGAAAAGTGCCGAATATTCTTTTATATCTTGTTGGTTTAAAGTAACATTTTACAAATGGAACTATCTTATAAGTGGCCCCAAAAGTGCCAAATATTCTACCAAATGCTTTAAGTTTTATGTGCTTTTTTACAGGATTTAGTGGCCTCAAATGGACCAATCGTAGGAGAAACGTAAGATTTATGGATGTCAACTTCTTGTTTTGAATAACACGACGTTTCGGGGTGTTTACTTCCTCCTTCATCGGCTTATACAAGCATACACTCCGAAATTGGATACCGTTTAGTTTGTAATGAAAATGAAACACTCGTGGTGTGTACAAACATAGCTGTTTTCATACTGATATTTAGAAAAGCCCATCATTCCTTTCTTAATAGCGTGTCATGGTCTTTCCAAATAGTGTCCAAGTTCAAATTGTATTTAAACATAACTGCACATTCACATTCCAACCAGAGATATAGTCCCTTTAAACGTGTTACATTAATTGTCCAGTTAGTTTCATTCCTCACTCAAGATGAACAGAAAATGGAAAGATGAAATTATGGTCAAAATGAAGTGCCCCTCTATTTTTACCCTAATCAGCGTCAGTTTAGCTTGGTCTGTTTTGACAAGTGGTTTGTTGCACACATAGAATATTGATAAATATGGAAAGGTTTTTTTTAGTTTACAGTTACATACTGACTCCTCTACCTAAATAGACTGGTAAGTGACAAAGACATATGCATTTGTTGGTGAAAGCCACAATAGTTACACATGCAATGCAGGCAGTGGGTTAACTATGGGATACTGTAAGGGACATTCTCGCGATCTCGCATTCTCGCGTACTCGCGATTTCGTGTTTTTGTGGCCTTTTCTGACAAGTCGAGATTGCGAGGTTGCCAGATTTGCCAGCATGACAAATGTTGCATTCTCGCTTTGTCTACTTTTGACAAAAAGTACCAAAAAACACGAGAATGCGAGATCGAGAGAACGCGAGATTTAGGCCAAATTTTGCATTCCCGCACTTTTGGCCTTTTTAGCTTGTTTCCAAAAGTCGAGATCGCGAGAATGCCCCTTACAGTATACCATAGTTAGCAGTCTTCAACGGGTAAAGTTACTATCATTTCGTCCATTGTTAAGAGGTGCGACAAAGTTCTTGGCTTTAATGGTGGACCATTGAGATGATCAGATAAATACATTCACCTACACTTTTCGTATAGTGTCTACAGATTGGATTGTTTGTTTGTTGTTTAACGCCGCACTCAGCAATATTCAAGCTATATGGCGGCGTCTGTGAATACTCGAGTCATGTGTCCAGTATAATTACACAATGCCATTTAGAAAGTGGTCAAGCTGAGCAGTCTAGGCGTCTGACTTTGTGTGCTTGCGAGGGTGTGGGTTCGAATCCCGAATGGGACTCAACCCAACAAAAGTACTAGAATCTGTACTCAACGTGTAATCCCAAATAAAACATATGTTACATTCAACAACTTTCTAAATGACATTGTGTAACCATAGCTTTCGGCTGCGGGAGCCGTGCCAATTTACACTTAACTGAGGGGTACACAAAGTCCGCAATCTAGACTACCAGTTATCCGACTTCCATTTTTGTGGAAGTCTGACTGAGCGCCTAGCAGGCAGCACGTTATCTGAGCTCACAGTTTTGCTTGATTTAAGGAATTTACAACGGCTTCTAGTCTTTGGAAACCGGACAGTAGATGAATAAGGCTACCAAGAACACATTTTTGCATTTGAAGAAGAAAATAGTTGTCGAACAATGCTGATTTTGACCGTAATAATATTGGAACTTTGCATAGTTTCTAACATCAAGACAGTGACACTCTATTGTTCACCAATCAGTGAGCCAAGCCGGCTCTCCAGCTGCTTGACAATGGACGTAAGCCACCTACAGTAGAGACCAGCTGCTGTGTATTCACAAGCTTCAATCAAAAAGACAATGGCTTGACCCTGAGTTATTTCATCACATCAGAGAATTGGGCATAAGTAATACAAAGCCTGTGAGGAGAGGGAAACGAGGTGGCTGTAAAAAGCAAAGACCAATCAAGATTCAGACTGGAGTGTGTGGTACCAATCCAATGGAACAATGCAAATCTCAATGCAATGTTGAGAATCTTATCTTTGTCTCAACTGAGACAAAAACTAACAATGTTAAAGTGTGCTTATGGAATGCCCAATCAGTCAAAAACAAGACAATTGAAATTAGTGACTACATTCTTGATTGTGATATTGACATTCTATTTCTTACGGAAACATGGTTGTCAGTGAGTGGGGATGAAGCTAAATGTTCTGAAATGACACCAAGTGGGTACAAAATGCATCAGGTACCAAGAATGAACAGAAGAGGCGGAGGGGTAGCATGTATATATAAACAGGACTTGCATGTTGGACTCTTTAAACTCTCAGGTGACTTTTCTACATTTGAACACATGTCAGTTGTAATTACTTGCGGGAAAAAACTATAAAAAGCAGTTTGCATTTACAGACCTCCACCCTCTAAGAGCAATAACCTATCCAATTCGTCTTTTTCATCAGAAATTGCCACATTGTGTTCAACTCTTGATGTCAAACGAGGATCCTGTCTCATAATTGGAGATTTCAATGTCCATCATAACTCAATGGATAGTCCGCTGACCAAACGCATTTCAAGGACACTTGCAACGCATGATCTGAAACAGTATGTTGCGGAGGCTACACATCGATTAGGTCATGTTATTGACCGGGTAATTGCAAAAGATGACGGTTTGATCCACGGAATACAAGTGGAAGACAGGCAGATGTCTGATCATTTCACGGTGATGTTCTATCTAAATTTTGATAGACCAGTACCTGAAAAGAAAACAGTTCTGGTTCGTAACATCAAAAAGATTGACATTCAGAAACTCAAAGAAGATCTTCTAGAATCTGCTCTCTTTTTAAAGAAATTACGGAAGACGTGGATGAGCTACTCGACATGTTCAATTCCTCACTATCTGAGGTTTTAGATAGACATGCTCCAGTCAAGCTTAAACAGGTCCGACCTCAAGATTCTTCTCCCTGGTACACGTCTGTTGTGCTACTGGCCAAGAGAGGTAGACGCATTGCTGAGCGTCGTTGGAGAAAATCACGTTTGGAAATTCACCGTCAAATATACAAACTTGCTCGAAATGACGTCAACAAATGCATACGGAAAGCCAGATCTGATTACTTCAATGCAGAAATCACATCTAATGCTGGTAATCCTAAACGCCTGTTTTGCACCCTCACCCGCACTCCTTGGGAAGAATTCTGACGTAGTTCTGCCACAGGGAGACGATGTTGCTCTGGCAAATGATTTCCAAAATTACTTCTCTGAAAAAATCACAAGACTTCGTCATAAGTTGGGTAGTCTCTGCGATGATGTCTCTTATAAAGAGTTCCAAGGACAACGCTTAACATCTTTCACACATGTGTCTGAAAATGACATTATGAAAATCATAACATCATCAAAACCAACATCATGTGAGGCAGATCCACTCTCAACCAAGTTCTTGCTGAAAGTACTAGACACCATTCTGCCTGTTATCACCAGGATTGTCAACCTCAGTCTCTCATCTGGAATAGTGCCGAAGTGCTTTAAACAGGCAGTAATTAAACCTTTGATAAAGAAGCCATCATTGGAACCTGAAAACCTCAGCAGCTACCGACCAGTTTCTAATCTTTCGTTTCTTTCTAAAGTCCTTGAAAAAGTTGTCAAAAGTCAGATGCTTGGGCATTTACAGAACTTCGATCTGATTGATAAGTATCAATCTGCCTACAGGACTGTACATAGCACCGAAACAGCTCTAAATGGTGTTCTGGACAACATCAAGATGTCCGTAGATGACGGAAATATTGCCCTGCTCGTTCTTTTAGACCTCTCAGCTGCCTTTGATACTATCGACCATGCAACATTGTTATCAAGGCTACAGATGGACTAAACGGCACAGTCCTAAAATGGTTTTCATCATATCTAGAAGATCGTGTACAGTCTGTTCAAATTAACAGGGCACTGTCAGACAGACATGTCCTTGAATGTGGAGTGCCACAAGGCTCAGTTTTAGGACCAATACTGTACACTATGTACACCAAACCTCTGGGACAACTGATCTCTGATCATTGCATTGGGCGGCACTTTATGCTGATGACTCCCAATTGGTGGATAGCTTTAAACCAAGTCCAGACAGTCAGCAGAAGGCCAAGGATAACGTGGAGTCGTGTCTCAATGATGTCAAGTCATGGATGACAAACAACAAACTGGTCTTAAACGATAGTAAAACAGAAGCCATCATTATTGCCCCACGTCAAAGACAGCAGAAGTGTCAGCTTTCTTCCATTTCCATTGGACAATCCTCAATCCCTTTCTCTCCCTCTGTAAGAAATCTTGGTGTTTATTTGGACTCAAATTTGTCTATGAAAAGTCATATCAACCACCTATGCAAAATATGTCACTTCCATCTCCGAAATATTGGTTCCATACGCAACATCTTAACCATGGAAGCAACGGCCACCCTCGTTCGATCTCTAGTTCTATCACGCTTGGAATACTGTAATAGTTTACTAATTGGTATCTCTGATGAACAATTACAGCGCGCGCCTTCAGAAAATACAGAATCAGGCTGCTCGCATCGTCACAAGGACAAAGCTGTGTTCTCATATTATGCCAGCTCTCAATTCTCTTCACTGGCTCCGGATCCGCGAGAGGATTGAATTTAAACTGCTCTCCCTTGTTTATCAGTCTGTTTATAGCATTGGTCCAGCATACCTCCATGATTTGATAACACTGTACAAACCTGACAGATCTCTCCGCTCCAGCGATCAACTCTTGCTAGTTGTTCCTGTGTGCAAACTTAAAACCTTTGGTGCAAATTCATTTTCTCATGCTGCTGCCACTCTCTGGAACTCTCTACCATCGGATCTTAAAACCTCTCCATCACTCCGAGTCTTTAAGTCCAAGCTCAAAACTCACCTCTTCAAGAAATATCTATGACGTCAACTTTCCTGTACATAGAACCTGTATATATGTTATGCGCTTAGAGCATGTCCCTGGGTGATGTGGATGAGGCGCTATAAAAGTACTCTTATTATTATTATTATTATTATAAGTCGCGGTGGTTGAGCGGGGTAGGCGGCTGACTTTGTGTGCTGGCGATTAGGTGCCTGACTCTGAGGGTGTGGGTTCGAATCCCGGATGGGACTAAACCCAAAACAAGTACTAGAATCCGTACTTTACTAATCCAAAATATAACATATGTTACATGTGTCCACTGTTGTCCAGTTTTCTGTGTCTTCCCACAGTGTTTGGACCTGCAGTGAACATCTGCTACCTGTTTCTGAGTGTATTTAAAAATAAAATACCCACACAGGATATTCAGCTGAACATGTTGTATTTAAATGGCATTTCTAATACCTCTACCCTTGCGATATTCTGTTCTGAAATCCGTTCTCTGGTCCTTTTCGGGGTCACGTATTACCCAGTTGTCTAAGGCGCCGATGTGCACTGTGCTGATCTTGAGTTACGTACCTTGGGAAACCGGGATTCTATGATAGCTGCTTCGAAACACGAATACAATGTGTGAAGGCCATTTCTAGTGTCCTCAGGCGTGATGTTGCTAGAATAATTCTAAAATCAATCTCTCTAGCAGGATCGGGTGATCATGCAGCCTAATAACCTTGATAGATGCTGGATTGTCTAGTTCAGACTCGATTATTTACAGGCCTCCGCCATATAGCTTGGCTACTGTTGAGTGCGGCATTAAACGATAACCAAACAAGCGTTATTAATCAGGATGAGAGAAGCGGTCATAAAATACTATGACTTCTTATGTCTTGTGGTACTCTAAAGAGTTCTCGTTTTATAAATAGTTTGGGACCGTCCAAAAGGAACTCAGACACAAGGTCCAGTAGATGTATACGTAGACACCTTAATAAAAGGATTTGCATAAAGCATTTCTATCAACACTAAAGTGAAATACCGAGAAATACCGAATGCTAAATTGCAGGCATCTTTTTTAATTTTCGCACTGTGCTAGAACACTTTCTATCATCACACTTATTTGATGCCTAGAACGGACTTGATGCCTTTGCACTATATCATTTTGTTTGTTCATATATATTACACTCGAATCTCCTCCAGTAATATCATATTCTAATCATATTACTTAACCATTGTCTAGATTTCTTTGGGGCGGTAAAATCATACTCATAGCAACCGATTCAGGAACACCTTTGTCAACATATAGCGGAGAGAGATAAGGGCCTGACAAAAGCTTTATTTGTGAAATAAAACTTTACAGAGTCTTTTGTCAGAAGTGATCTCGTACCACTATTCTACATACTACTCCATATATGGGCTTAGGTGTTGTGACCAAACGCTTTAAGGGGATTGACATCCTATAAGTACATGTAATACATTTAGTGACAGTTGCTTGACATAGCTACGGGGTAATTAGTATCAGCTGATAATATATGTTGACAAAGGTGTTCCTGAATCGGTTGCTATGGCAGTATCTAATGACGATCAATCAGACGAGAAGTGACGTTACCTGTGAGAAATATTCTAAGAAAAACGATTAATTTCAAATAATAAAATAATTCATTCAACACAAAAATCAACATTATATATAATGCCTTTAAAACACAAGCTATAGACCAGCTGTCACCAAAGCTAGACCAGGGGCACGCCGATGGTCCGATTTCGATTCGCCACATAATTACAATCATTATGTATGAAGCCAATTTCTGGTGTCCCCAGCTGTGATATTGCTGGAATGTTGCTAATAACTGCGTAAAACTCGCTCACTCACACTAGACCACCTTACTGGGGATCCTGGGGCCGCACGTCCGATGGAAAGAAATCTAGAGTATGATTTTACCGCCCCAAAGAAATCTAGACAATGGTTAAGTAATATGATTAGAATATGATATTACTGAAGAAGATTCGAGTGTAATATATATGAACAAACAAAATGATATAGTGCAAAGGCATCAAGTCCGTTCTAGGCATCAAATAAGTGTGATGATAGAAAGTGTTCTAGCACAGTGCGAAAATTAAAAAAGATGCCTGCAATTTAGCATTCGGTATTTCTCGGTATTTCACTTTAGTGTTGATAGAAATGCTTTATGCAAATCCTTTTATTAAGGTGTCTACGTATACATCTACTGGACCTTGTGTCTGAGTTCCTTTTGGACGGTCCCAAACTATTTATAAAACGAGAACTCTTTAGAGTACCACAAGACATAAGAAGTCATAGTATTTTATGACCGCTTCTCTCATCCTGATTAATAACGCTTGTTTGGTTATCGTTTAATGCCGCACTCAACAGTAGCCAAGCTATATGGCGGAGGCCTGTAAATAATCGAGTCTGAACTAGACAATCCAGCATCTATCAAGGTTATTAGGCTGCATGATCACCCGATCCTGCTAGAGATTGATTTTAGAATTATTCTAGCAACATCACGCCTGAGGACACTAGAAATGGCCTTCACACATTGTATTCGTGTTTTCGAAGCAGCTATCATAGAATCGGTTTCCCAAGGTGCACGTAACTCAAGATCAGCACAGTGCACATCGGCGCCTTAGACAACTGGGTAATACGTGACCCCGAAAAGGACCAGAGAACGGATTTCAGAACAGAATATCGCAAGGGTAGAGGTATTAGAAATGCCATTTAAATACAACATGTTCAGCTGAATATCCTGTGTGGGTATTTTATTTCTAAATACACTCAGAAACAGGTAGCAGATGTTCACTGCAGGTCCAAACACTGTGGGATGACACAGAAAACTGGACAACAGTGGACACATGTAACATATGTTATATTTTGGATTAGTAAAGTACGGATTCTAGTACTTGTTTTGGATTTAGTCCCATCCGGGATTCGAACCCACACCCTCAGAGTCAGGCACCTAATCGCCAGCACACAAAGTCAGCCGCCTACCCCGCTCAACCACCGCGACTTATAATAATAATAATAATAATAATAATAATAAGAGTACTTTTATAGCGCCTCATCCACATCACCCAGGGACATGCTCTAAGCGCATAACATATATACAGGTTCTATATACAGGAAAGTTGACGTCATAGATATTTCTTGAAGAGGTGAGTTTTGAGCTTGGACTTAAAGACTCGGAGTGATGGAGAGGTTTTAAGATCCGATGGTAGAGAGTTCCAGAGAGTGGCAGCAGCATGAGAAAATGAATTTGCACCAAAGGTTTTAAGTTTGCACACAGGAACAACTAGCAAGAGTTGATCGCTGGAGCGGAGAGATCTGTCAGGTTTGTACAGTGTTATCAAATCATGGAGGTATGCTGGACCAATGCTATAAACAGACTGATAAACAAGGGAGAGCAGTTTAAATTCAATCCTCTCGCGGATCCGGAGCCAGTGAAGAGAATTGAGAGCTGGCGTAATATGAGAACATAGCTTTGTCCTTGTGACGATGCGAGCAGCCTGATTCTGTATTTTCTGAAGGCGCTGTAATTGTTCATCAGAGATACCAATTAGTAAACTATTACAGTATTCCAAGCGTGATAGAACTAGAGATCGAACGAGGGTGGCCGTTGCTTCCATGGTTAAGATGTTGCGTATGGAACCAATATTTCGGAGATGGAAGTGACATATTTTGCATAGGTGGTTGATATGACTTTTCATAGACAAATTTGAGTCCAAATAAACACCAAGATTTCTTACAGAGGGAGAGAAAGGGATTGAGGATTGTCCAATGGAAATGGAAGAAAGCTGACACTTCTGCTGTCTTTGACGTGGGGCAATAATGATGGCTTCTGTTTTACTATCGTTTAAGACCAGTTTGTTGTTTGTCATCCATGACTTGACATCATTGAGACACGACTCCACGTTATCCTTGGCCTTCTGCTGACTGTCTGGACTTGGTTTAAAGCTATCCACCAATTGGGAGTCATCAGCATAAAAGTGCCGCCCAATGCAATGATCAGAGATCAGTTGTCCCAGAGGTTTGGTGTACATAGTGTACAGTATTGGTCCTAAAACTGAGCCTTGTGGCACTCCACATTCAAGGACATGTCTGTCTGACAGTGCCCTGTTAATTTGAACAGACTGTACACGATCTTCTAGATATGATGAAAACCATTTTAGGACTGTGCCGTTTAGTCCATCTGTAGCCTTGATAACAATGTTGCATGGTCGATAGTATCAAAGGCAGCTGAGAGGTCTAAAAGAACGAGCAGGGCAATATTTCCGTCATCTACGGACATCTTGATGTTGTCCAGAACACCATTTAGAGCTGTTTCGGTGCTATGTACAGTCCTGTAGGCAGATTGATACTTATCAATCAGATCGAAGTTCTGTAAATGCCCAAGCATCTGACTTTTGACAACTTTTTCAAGGACTTTAGAAAGAAACGAAAGATTAGAAACTGGTCGGTAGCTGCTGAGGTTTTCAGGTTCCAATGATGGCTTCTTTATCAAAGGTTTAATTACTGCCTGTTTAAAGCACTTCGGCACTATTCCAGATGAGAGACTGAGGTTGACAATCCTGGTGATAACAGGCAGAATGGTGTCTAGTACTTTCAGCAAGAACTTGATGTTGGTTTTGATGATGTTATGATTTTCATAATGTCATTTTCAGACACATGTGTGAAAGATGTTAAGCGTTGTCCTTGGAACTCTTTATAAGAGACATCATCGCAGAGACTACCCAACTTATGACGAAGTCTTGTGATTTTTTCAGAGAAGTAATTTTGGAAATCATTTGCCAGAGCAACATCGTCTCCCTGTGGCAGAACTACG